AATAAATGAACTTTTCCACGACATTCTAATTTATTGAGATGCACCTGTACATCATCGGCAGTGCACACCTTAACCAGAACAAGACAATTCAGGTGCTTATCTCAGTCATAGAGTGCCACTCAAAAACTTGTGGTCATATTGGGATTTTTTTTTTTTTTTTGAGGAAATTAATATTTTCATCCAGCATGCATCAAATTTGATATTTATAGTGTTAGATTTGTATCTCTAATAAATGATGTTCTTTTCAAGTTTTTTAAAATCAAAGAATCCTGAAAAAAAAAAAAACATCACAGTTTCCACAAAATATTAAGCAGTACAAATGTTTTCAACATTGATAATAATATACATCATCGGCAGTGCACACCTTAACCAGAACAAGACAATTCAGGTGCTTATCTCAGTCATAGAGTGCCACTCAAAAACTTGTGGTCATATTGGGATTTTTTTTTTTTGCTGAGGAAATTAATATTTTCATCCAGCATGCATTAAATTTATATTTATAGTGTTAGATTTTTATCTCTAATAAATGATGTTCTTTTCAAGTTTTTTAAAATCAAAGAATCCTGAAAAAAAAAAAAACATCACAGTTTCCACAAAATTGCTTGAAAATGTAGCTTTGCCATCACAGGATTAAATAACATTTTAAACTAGATTCAAATAGAAAACAACAATTTTAAATTGTAACAATATTTCTCAGTATTACTGTTTTTACTGTATTTTGACTTCTTCAAAAATATAAAAAAACTGACCCCAAACTTTTGAATGGTAATGTACACAAACTAATCAGGTCACCCTGAGTGAAATTTCAGCTTCTTTGTTGTTAAAGATATTTGAAGGGTTGTATATACAGTAAATCTGTCATTCAGTCTTTTATACTGGTGTTAGATTGCATCAACTGAATTCTCTCTCTTTCTGTCTGTGTGTTGCAGTCGTAACCAGCTGTCCAGTTTACCGCAGTCAGTATGTCAGCTCCCTCTCCTGCGGGTGCTCATCGTCAGCAACAACAAGTTATCAGCCATACCGGCCTCCATTCACACACTCATACACCTGCGACAACTGGTAAGTAGAACTCACAGACTTAGACTCGTGTTCATTTGAGCTATTTTAGTAAAGGCATCGCATAAGATGATGATACACAGGGCAACTTTTTGAGCAATGTTGCCAAGCGTTGTTGCATCTGGATATTTTAGATTGGTCGTGGGCCCTGTGTCTCACCTGGTTGACCGTTGACGGCAACATTGCTCAAAAAGTTGCCCCGTGTATCATCACCTATAGACACAAAGGTTTTTATACAGAGGTGATGATAAATCCTAGCTCTACACCTCACAGAAACTGCTTGATTTAAAAAAATAATAAAATGGAGTGCTGCAGCCATGACGTCGAAACCCAGGAGAGTATGGGTTCCCTATGTTTTTTTGTTTTTTTTTAGAATGGGTTATTTTCAATTCATGACTTCTCCAAAATTCACATTTTCAGTATGAGTGTGTGTAATTTACATTGAAGAACAAAATGTCCAAGTAGCTTCAATTTATATTTACCGTAGACCTTGTTTTACTCATAAATTGTAAAAACCCATTATATAAAAAACCCCGCAGGAAAATTTTGAGGGAACCCATAGCGACTGAGTATTCCAGGTTTTGATGTCACAGCTGTAGCACTCTATAGCAACATGTCAGATGTTTTCACAAGTTTCCCGATATTTGTGAAGACATTTTCCAAAATTTGTAGTTTATTTAGTATAGTTAAACCATGACAAAAGCAATCACATGAACACAAAAATATTTTTACATTTTAAAATAACTCTTTTCTTTTTTCATATTTTTTAAAATGTAACTTATTTGTGTGATGGCAAAACTGAATTTTCAGCAACAATTGATTCAATCTTTAGAATCACATGATCCTATCCATATTTTTGTGAAAACCGTGATGCATATTTTTTCAGGATTCTTTACTTAATAGAAAGTTCAAAAGTAAAGCATTTATTTGAAATAGAAATCTTTTGAAAATTAAAAAAATGTCTTTACTGTTGCTTTTGATCAATTTAATGCACCTTTGCTGAATAAAAGTATTAATTTTTGAACAGTAGTGTATGTGCAATATCCAGTCCCTGTTTTATAATTTCCTCCATACCTTCATGTTTCTCACTGCCCCTTCCTCTCACTGTCCATTTCTCCATCAGGATGTGAGCTGTAATGAGCTGCAGTCACTTCCTGTTGAGCTCGGCCAGTTAGAATGTTTAAGGGATTTAAATCTGAGAAGAAACCAGCTCACAACTTTACCAGAAGGTCAGTATCCCAAACACGTTCTAGACATTATCACATAAACTAATAGTGTGTTACCTTGCAATATTACAGAGATCAAGATGTTTGAAATATCACAACTCTGACTCAAATCATTATGCCTGTGGTGAACTCCATAACTAAAAGTGTGTGAATGTAATTTAATTAGATTAGCATTTGTTTTAAAGAAAGATCAGTATTTCAAGCCAAATATTTAAAATATATATATGAAGAGTTCATTTGCAAAAACCGATAACTCAATTTTTATTGTTTTTTCAGAATTTTTTTTTTTTATTGCGCATTCCAAGTAATATCAATCAAACTGCAGTTGGGTTGTTTTGATTAAGTAATAATAACTTAAATACAGGTAATTTACAAAATTAAAGTTCATTGAAAGTATTTATTTATTTTTTTTACATATTAAAAGTTTGTTTTATAGCAAAAGCTAACTCCAACAGTCGTTTTTTTTCAAAAGCAGATAACTCCAAATTTCATGTTTTAGAGTTTAAAAAAACACTCGTTTAATCTTTGAAAGTGAAAGTAGCCTTGTCACCTGACCTGAATACAGCACGCTGATTCGCTAAAATGGACTTATCGGCTTCTGTTCAAAAACAACAAGGGCGCTTGTCGGCTTCTGCAGTAAAGCGTGAACTGAGGAACCTTGCCTTGAAAGTGGACAAAACCGACTTTTTTGACAAAACGTGTTTAGGGTTCAGATCGCGCTATATGTGGAGAATAATGCATGGCAATCAGCTCATTTTTTTTGAAAGTGGCGTTTATCGGTTTTTGCAAATGAACTCTTCATATGTTTTTCATTTTAAATGATAAAACAACTGATTTATTTGACTGTATTTGGACATTTCCTGTCATGTTAATGGTTAATGTGATGAACTACACTTGTGGTTACTCTCACATGACATATATGAACTTGAAGGCATTTTAAAAGTCATTTAAATGAGTAATGTTTTGAGTTGTGATGTACATTTGTTCGCAGATGTCACTTGATTTGTGACATTCAAGCATTAACAAATAGTTTTTAGGACCAGACAGTGTATATTGCAGGTTGACGCATTTAATTGATTCTTCTCTCATCTCAGAGTTGTCAGAGTTGCCCCTTGTCCGTTTGGATGTGTCGTGCAACCGCATATCTCACGTGCCTGTGTGCTACCGTCATCTCCGGCACCTCCAAAGCATCATCCTTGACAACAACCCCCTCCAAATGCCCCCCGCCCAGATCTGCTCCAAAGGAAAGTTCCACATCTTTAAATATCTGAACATGGAGGCCTGCAAAAGGACTCAGGATCAGTTTGAGAAAGCACTGCGGCCCACTGCCTTCAACAGCTGGTGAGGGATCGTCAAGGACGAGAGGTCTTAGGGTGTTGAAAAGTTGTAATTGCCTCTATCAGTGAATACTCTACTCATGCTTCTCTGTATGTGTGTGGTCTGTGCAGTCTGGATCAGGACCTGTTCCCCGGTCAGTACGGTGGCCTGGATTCTGGCTTTAACAGTGTGGACAGCGGTAGCAAAAGATGGTCAGGAAATGAGGTATAAAGAGAGCTAATTTAAGCACTAATTCACTGGTTGCTAAAGGCTTATGGAGTGTCATTTTATTGGATGACGTAAACAGCTGTGTGTCTGTGTTGTTTTATTTTAGTCTGCTGATGATTTCTCGGAACGGTCGCTGCGACTCGCGGACATTTCCCGTGAACACACAAATTTTCAGGAGGAAGAGGAGAGAAATATATTGCTAGATACACCCAAAGGTAATGTTAATGAACTCTCTAGATCAGTGGTTCTCAACCAGGGGCCGGGGCCCACCAGGGGGTCTAAGCAAACTTCCAAGGGGGCCCCAGGATGACTTACAGACAGGGCCTAAAATTAACACTCATCAAGCGCCAAATGTGAGTAAAAATCAGCGTTGGCGAGTCCATGTAACAGTGTCAGTCGCCAGTTGGCGGGTACAACTTTTTCGAATTATAACAATGCAATGAAGTGAAAAAATAACTTTTACCTGAGAAGATTTTGCTGCTTCATTTCGGAAGATTAACTTTTCCCTTCTTTATTATTCATAACCCGAGAATGCGGTGACACATACCTGGGGTTACGCCCTAAACGGTGCAGTGAAGTATAGTTTGAAAGGCTGCGCGTTTGGCTGTACGCATACACCGAGCCGCTTCAGACAGCTCACCAGTAGCGCTTCAACGCACGAAAACACACACACAATTATGTCAAAATACGAGGTTTTGGTGAGTTACCTCGTAAACGTAGTCTTAAATGAGTTATAAAGTCTTACTTCCTGTTTTTGCAAAAAGAGTTTCATGGCCGGTAAAAAAATTTTTTGGCAGGTGTGGCAAAAAGTTAGTTTTAGGCCCTGCTTACAGAATATAAAATAAAACATGCATTAAAATAAGCTAAAACAACTTATTTTATTTTGATTCACCGTAACAACTCTCTTTTGTCTTTAAAGAACCAGGATTTACAGTCTTGGAAAATCTGGATATAAGAAAGACGCCTAAATGTGTGAATTCTACACCTGTTAAAGTTATTTAAGTTAATAAAATATTCCAGAAAAAAATAATAATAATACAATGCTTCATCTGGGATTTTACACATTTTCTGAATATACATGTTTGTAGTAATGTCAAGCTATAAATGATTGTGTTGGGTAGAAATTGTGAGTAAAAATATATATTTTAAAATCCCTATTAATCCTTATCCAATAAATCACAATGAACTGGAAAATATTGAAATATTGTTGTGGACAACAGGGGCCTATAAGGCTGCTCTTGCTCTTAGCGTTTCTCAACGGGGGCGTTCGGAGAGCATCGGGTGGCGCTGGAAGCAATATTTTTGAAAGGGGGGCGCTGAGGTGTTCTTGGGGGGCGTTTGGTTAAGGCGAGTTTACACCAAAGATGTATGAGCTGAGACTTGCAAAAGAAAATGGTCTGGCACATCCTAACACAGTCTCTACATTGGAAGCATCAAAGCGCACTTTCTATATCCGCTTGTCAACTTGTCGGTAGCGCAAGCGAGTGGAGCGCGGCAGGCAGAGAACGTGGCATCCGTTTATGTAGCGCTCGAGCCCAGATACTGAACCACTGATTATAATCAGGATCTTGTGTACTTTGACGCAACGTGTCGCGACGTTCGCGCCCGGTGTAGTAGTGTTAGTTAGGGTAAGCCGCTAGTTTACACCAATCCTACCGCTTCTAAACTATAATTTCCATAGCTTTCTGTAGCGCAGCTGGCAGACTTCCAATGAAAACAATAGCAAACATTTAGTCACGTTAAAGCACAATATGCTTTTTCTTGTTTAGAAAAATTTATATGAATGCTTTTTTGTTTGCTGTTTGGCTGCGGTTGGTTTGAATGCCAAATTTCAAGAGTTTATTCAACGCTCATAAATATAGCTTAATTTATATTCACGTGGCTTTTTTTGCTCCTTGGGAAACTAATGATAATGGTATTTAAAGTCCAGTCAAATATGTCATGAATGCCATGTGGCATTCAATGACATATTTTTAAAATTATTTATGGGCTACTGTGGGCTGTAATATTTGGGTTAAAATACATGCTTTTAAAATAGGTTCATATTACAAATAAAATATATCCTATAATATACACTCTCATTCAAAAATAAAGGTCAGTAAGATTTTTTTTAATGGTTTTGAAACAACTGTTTAAAATGTGAATTCACCCAGTCAGTTTTGATTGTCCACATGCTACAATCAAACATGCTTGAGATATAACCTACATCGTCAAACTAGCTAACGATGTTTAATGCGTGAATTCTTGATAAAATGCAGTTATATTATGGGCTGTTGGCATTAATTGTGTTCGTGATAGAGCGGTAGTGGAGCGCTCTCAGAGTGACTGAAAACAACGACGCTCCCACTTTCAAAAAATCCACTCCTCGCTCCAGTCAAAAAACACGCCTTTTCACTGAAAGCTGATAAATGATAAATCACAGGACAGTGTTGACAATTTTCTGCACTCCTGAATGTTTCTATGTGCACGCAATCTGTACGTTATGTGCAAGCTTGTGTGTTGTGTGCGTGCGTGCAGTGTAGCAGCACAATAGTGTAGAGCAGAGATTAGCTACCTGTACAATAAACTGTTTAAAATGTGAATTCACCCAGTCAGTTTTGATTGTCCACATGCTACAAACAAACATGCTTGAGATATAACCTCCATCGCCATCATTATAACCCTCACCTTCTTTCTGATTTGAGTGATCCACATATCTGTCAAACTAGCTAATGATGTTTAATGCGTGAATTCTTGATAAAAATGCAGTTATATTATGGGCTGTTGGCATTAATTGTGCTCGTGATAGAGCAGTAGTGGAGCGCTCTCGGAGTGACTGAAAACAACGACGCTCCGACTTTCAAAAAATCCACTCCGCTCCACTGCGCTCACTCTGCCAGGAACGGAAGAACAAACTAAAATCTCTTCTGTAAAAATGCCCCTGTGGATATATTCTAAACAGGAATTTTTAACAAGTCTTTTTAAATTTGGGGCAAATACATCACCAAATATTTAGCAATGAAAATCACCAACATGCTTAAAAACTCTGTAAATAACTCCGTTATTGCACTTATTTTCAAATAACGTATTTTAAAAATGTATTTCACTGTCATTTCATTTTTTTTCATCAATTTAATGGATCCTTGAATTAAAGTAATTTCTTAAAAAAAAGTAATGGCCCAATACATTTTAATGCTACTGTAAATATAATACCAGTCCTCATTATAAGCACAAAATAATAATCAACTTTTTGATGGGGGGCGGTGAGGTACCTGAATAATGGGTAGGGGGGCGCTGGCCCAAAAAAGGTTGAGAACCACTGCTCTAGATGGTACTCTCGGTTGTCTGTGATAAAACGCCTCTAAAACTTTTGGTTCTTTCTGTAGTGAATGGAGACCTGGAGCAAGTGGATTTTATAGACAACAGTGTAACGGAGGAAGAAGAGGAGAGGTGTCACCCTCCGCTTACAGAGCCCCCTCAGGTGAGGAGGATTTACTGCAGTGACACAAGCAGTACACTGAATATTAAAGGTGCACTCAGTACTTTTGTTTTTGACCCTGTGTTGTGCTGGCTGATACTCCAGTGGTCTTGGAAGTTGAAGCTCTATAATGACAACTATTGGCATCAAGAATTTTATGGTACCAATTTCATTAGCCACGTTTACATGCAGCCAAATAATCTGTTAGTGATCTGACTTCGCTCAATCAGAACAAAGACTGCTTCAAGCACAGTAGTAAACAGCTGGTGGGTAGAACTGGCTGGTGGAAGAGATTACCTGGCTTATCATTTTAATGGATAAAATGATTGTTGAGAGGATGAAAAGTAAGAAGCTTATTCAAATAGTTTTTTGAAAGAAATGAAAGTCTTTCAGACAGGTTCTCGTTGCTGTGGAAATGCTGATAATAAATGTAACCATTTACATACATAGACTTACAGAGATATTTTTAGCTTTTTACATTTTTAGATATGTAGAGGTTTTAGTTTAAGGTACGTATAAACATTGCAGTCAGGTTGTATTTGAATTGATGAAAATGTGTAGCTGTCTTTTGTAGAAATACCACATTTTTGTGATGGCATATTTGTCACCTGTGATTAATTACACAACAGAAAGTGTGTGGTATTAGGGGGCAACCCTGATGAAGTGAGAAATATTCAGCTGGTCATGTAATCTCAACATGGCATCCACTATGCTGTCAATAGCACTTTTCATTTCTTTAGGGATAAAGCTGTTTTACATGGGGGAAATAACTTGATGCACCTTTAAGTTAACTAACCCTCCACTCCTACATTTTCAATACATTTTCAGACATATACACTACCATTCAAAAGTTCTGTACAATTTTTATAATGTTTTATGAGTCTCCGTTGCTCACCAATGCTTCATTTATTTGATCAAAAATACAGTAAAACAGCAATATTGTGAAATATTATTACAATTTAAAATAACTGTTTTCTATTTGAATATATTTTAAAATGCAAATGATTTCTGTTGTAACAAAGCTGAATTTTCAGCATCCAGTACTCCTTTCTTTGAAGTTACATCCTTCAGGAATCATTCTAATCGACTGATTTGGAGCTCAAAAAACATTTAATATTATTATAAATGTTGAAACCATTATATATATATATATATATATATATATATATAGGATTCTTTGAACAGCATTCATTTGAAACAGCAATCATAAATGTCTTTACTGTCACATCTAATCAATTTAATGCATCCTTGCTGAACAAAAGTATTACTAAAAATAATAATGTTAGTGTAGAAGTCATAAGGTAAAAATGATGTTGATGTAAAATCAAATTAAAATGATATCTGCTGTCTCCATGACAGGGAAAGAGTGAAAGTACCAGCAGCACATCCTCCCAGAGCCCCGAGTCTACATGCAGCAGGTGAGGGCTTACGCACATGTTCTGTTTACAAATGCATACACTGCTTGCAAAACCTGTTAATATTAAAATGTCTCTGAAGGGTCCTCCCATACAGAAAAGCCCCCCAGAACTCTCAGAAATAGACATTTGTTTGCATTTGAGCCACATACAATACCAAACCAACAGTATACTAGCTTGTCTGAGCAGCCTGTTAGGTGACTGATAATGGAATTTTTAGACCTACAGACACTAGATCCTCAAACTGATCGGTGCTCGAGTGTGGTATCAGGTTAGCTTACACAGTGCCTTCTGTTAGACACGTTTATTTTACAAACTTTGCAAATAGTTTCGGCTTGATCTGGATCAGATACTTTCAAAATCTGTCAGACAGATGGCATATTTTCATTCCAAGGTATGGAGTGAAGTTTTGGTAAAAAATATGTTTTATCATAGTTCTGCTCTCAGTGTTGGCCATGAAGAAACATCAGTCATATATAGACTACTGCATTCAAACTAGACAATGCAGGATAAACTGAGAGTACAAGGACATCACAAAGAGCATCTGAATTTGAATGCATTTGAATACAGCTGGTAAGGATCTGTTCTCGAGCTACAAAATGTGTGGACGGGCATGATAAATGGAGGAGAGGAAGACATTGTACTGTCTAATGGAAAGTTTCCAGTAGCTCTTCTTAGAGTGTGGATGAAGCCAATGACCAAAAGTGCTCCAAGACGGAGAAGATGTGCAGTTGTTCATTGTAGGGAAAAATAGAAGTAGAAAAAAGCAGCAGACAGTCAGAATTACAATTACCTCTTTCTCCAGTTCCTGTGTGATTTGAAGGCCACGGTGATGTCCTTCAGCTGATTATATAATACATGCTCAAACAGTTGCCGTGAAAAACAGTCTCTTAATTAAAGTGTGCTGGATCCCTCCTCCACTTTGATTGCGCAAGGTCAATCTGTGAGGCAGTGCTGGGAAAAGTCAACAGTGCGTTTCCTCCCACAGTTTCTGTGTAACTGAGTGTCTTACTGTCAGTTACTCAGTAAACTCATCTGCTTTATTCTGTTACAACAGCAGCCAAATGAAGGATGTTTTTACTTTCAAAAATAGTACAAAAATAGTAAAAAATAATAGTGGACTTCTTCCAAGCCTGCACAATATATCAAAATAAAATCAAAAGTGTGATATGGCTTAGTGTGATTTTCACATTGCAATGGCGGCACTGAAGCGTGTTTATGCAAGCAGCTCATGATTCAGTGTTTTCAGTGTCTAAACATTGTCACGTTTCTGTGTGAGTGTGTGTTCAGAATGACCTGAAAGTCTGGTAATGTAAGTGTGTGATCCTGTGTGATTTTGAACTCCTAACTGTAAGTGATACCTCAAATCATATGGCTTGTTGTGGAGAGGCGTGTTATTACGTTTTTAAAGGTGACATATCATGAAAATCTGACTTTTCCCGGTTTTAAGTGCTATAATCAGGTCCCCCGTGCATCTACCAACCAAGAAAACGTGAAAAAGATTAACCCAGTAACTTTGTTTTGGGAAGCCTTTTTCTGCAAGCGTCTGAGAAGCAGCCAAATGAAGGATGTTTTTACTTTCAAAAATAGTACAAAAATAGTAAAAAATAATAGTGGACTTCTTCCAAGCCTGCACAATATATCAAAATAAAATCAAAAGTGTGATATGGCTTAGTGTGATTTTCACATTGCAATGGCGGCTCTGAAGCGTGTTTATGCAAGCAGCTCATGATTCAGTGTTTTCAGTGTCTTGGAGTGGCTCGGTTCACAGTAAATGCTGCTCCACACAGAAACTCAATCTCATTTTGGGAATGTTATGTGTGACAGCAACACCACCCTTTACATATTCAAATTTTTTATTTTACAGTACAATAGTATTACTATTACAATTGTTGTCAAAAACAATGGAAATGTGTGCCAAGTCATTCAACCCTAAAAGGATGTTTTACACTATAAGTATTCAGAGTAAAAGTAATTTCAGATTTTTGTAATTATTTTTTCTATGCAAATACACAATATATATAAAACTATAACTATAATATAACTATTGACTATAAATAAAAATCCCCAATTATTATCATTCTTTCCAAACCGAGCTCTGTCTTTGGCTGCACAGACGAGCACAGAACACTGTTTAGAGTCCCAGCCTCAGAGGAAACAAGAGAGCAGTGGATTTATCAATTTATATACTGTATATTGCTGCTGCCACACAGATCTAAAATAAACATGCGATTTATTTCCCAGCTGTTTACCTTCATAGACATAACCGACTGTTTTTTGTAACTCGTGTGTTTTTAACGTAACGTAAACTTGTGTGTGAATGAGAACTTGTGCTGTGGAGTATTTTGAGCTGAAACTTCACAGACACATTCTGGAGACACCAGAGACTTATATTACATATTGTAAAAAGGGGCATAATATGTCTCTTTAAGCAATCAGACATATGGTGGGTGATCTAAAATGGACAAAACTCCCTTAGACTTATATTGACATAAGCCATATTTAGGGACCAGAAAATGATAGAGACTCTTTTGACTTGAGTCAGTAAGTAATCACCCAGAACACCCTAAAAACTGCACAGCAGTGACTAAAGACCACACAAAACACTTCAGAAACCACCACCAACACCCTTGCATAGTGGTGGTGACTTAACAAAGACCGTTTCATCAGAAAAAGCTATATTAAGTTGTAACCTTTTGGTGAATATTCTTGAGATTCAAGACCTAAATACATAAAGACGTAAATCTCTCTCGCTTCGCTTCAGGATATTTGTGATTGGAGATGGTTCAGACTCCGGCTCACCATCCAGTCCTACTTTAGAGGAGAGAAGGAGACCTGGAAACCTGCTCATCTGGCAGGAGAGAGAGAGAGCCCAACAGCAGAGAGACAGAGCTAGCACGTGAGTGGATGATGGGATTAAATGAACGTGTGGCGTCAAAAAAGACTGTTAGGCCTTAAAAGCGATAGAACTAACAAGCCTGTTTGCTAATGCATGGCAAGCAATAAAGAATCTACAAAAGCACATTATGGCTATAAAGTGTATAAAATGGCCTTTTTTATTTCCTTTCTGATGCTTCATCATCAAAGGCCTCGTGGTTGTAAAGGAATCCACTGTTACCTGCTGTCGCGTGCCTTTACTTCATTAGTGTCTTAAAGCACAGTTAAGAGTCTTGAATCATTGTAAAGAATAGCCAGAAAGAGAAAATCAGAGGGGCTCTCCCAGAATGCCTATATTTATAAGAACAAAGTCTTGTGTGCTTTTCTTCTGTATTATGAGTCTATTGACTAATAAACGTTTGATGTCTTACAGTTTGCAGAAGATGACTGTAAAAACAGGAAGTAACTTGGCAACGACGACAAAGCACGGAGGAACAGGAAGTGTTTCAGGGTAAGAGTGAGTGAATGGCCTGCATATGCGTTTGTCTTCTGCATTTGAATGCGTGCTTTTGTTAACATTTTGTTGTGACAATCTGAGTCTCTTTTAACAGAAAAGGCAAAAATCTGAAATTGAGAAACTCAAGGGACCAGATTACTTGCTGTGGCTAAATAATGAACAGTCAAATCAAACAGACATACTGTACCTTATTTAAAATGAGCTTGCCTTCATAAAACAGGCATGATGTAGTTGTAGTATTACAACCTATTTCTATTTCACTTTGTAGTTGTCTAGGTGGTGAAGTTCTCAAAGCAGTTAACACGCTTTTGTAGTTTTGCAATCAGTTGATTGTTGATCTCTGTGTCCCTCTAGTGGTGATTCTGATAGCAACTCTCCACCCAATGGCCTGAAACAGAGATGTGCAGTGAGTACTTTTACTGGAGTGTTTAATTATACATGAGAGTTTAATACTTCCTTAAACTTATTTCTCTCTCTTCCTGTCAGAGTGTAGATCAGGTTTCTCCATCCTCTCAATCGGGGTCTTTACAGCGCTCCATCAGTCGCCCAGGTACCCTCCATACCAAGATGATTTGAGCTTACATCACGTTATTAACAGACAGTACAAATGAAAAATAGCATTTAAGATCTATCTTTTTTTTTCTTTCTTTCTCACTTTCAAATCAGGCAGCTTTCTGTTGGTCAGTGCTGCAAATCCACATGACCAACTTGAACCTGCTTTGGAATATGCTTGGGGAAATATTTCACATTCATGTGAAAATATAGTTTAATTTACAGGCACTCCTAGTTCCTGTAAATTAAGTCTCTAAAATAATTATAATTAAAATTTAAATAATTGCATTTAAGTTTTACGAGCTGAATGTTCTTCAGGGATTTTTTAACCAATTAAAAAAAATGAATGAAAGTAATTTACATGATAATTTTCAGTCATTCATTTAGCTTCTTTTAATGCTTTTCGTCTCATTTAAAGGGTCATGAAACCCCAGACTACTTTTTCTGAGATTTTAGCAGAGGTGTTTGTGTTGCACATCATAGAAGACAATGTTAGGATCCGATAATTTTAACTGTTGGAGAAAACTGGTTAATTTTAAGCTTTTTCGCGCTATTTTCATCTTCGGGGTTTAAAATCTACATTGTGTTGACGTCACAATTTGTGACGTGGAAATGGACTATAGTACATCGATGACGCATGGGTGTCTATTAAATTATTCATGAGACTGCGTGTTCTTATCCTATGAGAAGAGGCTTTGCTTAATTATTCACAACAGCATGTGTTGATTTGCTATGGCAGACGTTTCAGAGTCTGTGAGATGACATCGAGCACATTAGAGAGAAACGTTCATGGATGGAAGAAGAGTGTTTGTTTTTGCTTTGTAATAAGAGTTCGGCACAAACGCGATTCATTCACTTGGTGAGCATAACCTCTGTGACAGAACCCGTCAAAAGGCTTATATAAACGCGAATGCGAATATAAACGCGAGTGCGAATGGCTGTGCATTTATTTGTGTTTTTAACTCGATGGGAGCGAAATGAAACTGTCTGAACGTGAAGCAGTGCGTGTTGTCCGCTCACTTTAATTTTTTTTATTTTTTTTTTAGCGTTTTTTAAAACTGTGGTGAGAACTAAGCAGTGCTGAAACGGGGGGGTTCATGACCCTTTAAAAAAAAAATCAGCACTGTGACCACCAGAGGGCAGTGCTGTTTCAAAAGTGCTTTTTGACAGGGTTTTTATTGTTGTTGTTGTTGTTGAGAGTAATATAATATAGTTTGTATCTATAAGTTTATACCTTTATTTATATACAGTAGCACTTTATACAGTACAGATTGTTTCAAAGCAGCTTCACAGTAATAAACAGGAAAATAACAGAATCAGTGATGCAGACTTCATCAAATATGAGACAAATCCAAAATCTGTTTTAAAGCAACAAGACAATAGTGTTATTATTCAGCTCAAGTCAGTTCAGTGTTGGTTCAGTTCAGTAACTGTGTAAAGTTTATCAATTATGAAACAAGTTAAATTCAGCTTAAAGCAGCTCTGCTGAAGACAATGATAATATTACTGAATGAACCAAGCTCAGTTAGGGGACCAGTTCTTCTCTGGCCTAAATATAATATAATCTCGACACAATATATTGATTACATTTTTGTTTTTTTAACGTCAGTTTTTCTGTGTTCTGCTGAAGCTGTATTGGTACCCAGTCTTAATGCAACTTCAGTATTTAATGAATCATGTTTGTATCATGTTCCAGATGCATCCTCTGTGAAGCCCTGTTCTCCTACAGGTTCTGCTCCCAAACCCAACAGCTTCTTATTCCGCACATCCTCACGCTGCAACGTCAAGACAGGTACACACACATAGAGAAGTAAATCTAGGAATATAGGAGCTATTTTCTTGATTTGGTCAATACTATATGTTGTCTCTTTCTCTCAGGATCAGGAAACAGTTTGGCGGAGTCTGGATGCAGTGACTCCCGCTCCACACTCAGATCCCCTCGAGAGGAGAGAACAGACATCTTGCAACTGCGTAAAGTAAAGAGGCATCCCGTATTATTCATCTCACCATCTCTAGCTCTTCTGACACACCTCACCCCAATTTTTGATACAGACACTTATTTTTTACTACTTATTTTATTTCTAGTAAGCTTTATATTTTTTTTTCAAAATATATTTTAGAACTAAAATGTACACTACTGTTCAAAAGTTTGGGTCAGTAAGATTATTATTATTATTTTTTAAAGAAATTAAAGCTTTTATTTAGCAAGGTGTATTGAATAGATACAAAGTGACAGAAAGTTTTTATAACAATGTAAAAGTATTATTTCAAGTAAAGGCTGGTTTCTTTTTCTGAAAAAAAAATAGTATCACAGTTTCCACAAAAATATTAAATGGCACAACTATTTTCAACATGAATAATAAGAAGAAATGTTTCTTGAGCACAAATTAGCATATTAGAGTATATTTCACAATATTACTGTTTTGTACTGTTTTTGATCAAATAAATGCAGCCTTGGTGAGCAAAGAGACTTCTTTCAAAAACATTAAAACAAATTTCACAAATCGATCCCAAACTTTTGAACAGTAGTGTAATAAGTAATACATTTTATTAATAGCTACATTTTCAGGTCACTGTGAGTGTCCCATAATACTTTTAAATAGTTTTTATTATTATTATTATTATTATAGTCCACTATTGTTTAAGGGTTGGACAGGAGTTTAATATTTATGATTTGCCTGATTTTCTTCAACAACATTCAGCTGTTTTATAAGTGATATGTTCTGATTTGATCTCTGGGGTCTTGAAAAAGTGTTATGTATCTTCCAAGAAAATTCCCTCCAGAATTATTTTTTTATTTCTTCCCAATAGTCTCACTTTTTCCATGTCTCTCTGCTAGACTCTGGAGTCGCGTCTGAAGATCTCTGTGCCTGAGGATCTGGGAGAGGCGTTGTCCAATGGCACAATTCTCTGCCAGTTGGCCAATCACGTGCGACCCCGTTCTGTGTCAATCATCCACATCCCCTCACCGGCAGTGGTGAGCTAATGCTTAGATCTTATTCTCATCATGGCCAAAACATAATCTAGTATCTCATAAAACAAGCACTATGTCTGGATCTTTCTGTGTAATCCTTATTCATCCATATTTTAAAAAGGCTGATCCAGGATCAGCTAGATTAACTAGCAGGCTGCATATCCTGTTGGATTCTAATTTTTATAATACTGCCAGAAAGCACTTTTATTCAGAAACATGTTTAAGTGGAATATTTTGTAATGTATCACCTGAATCTATTTTAGATTTTTTTGTCTTATGTCAAGTTAAAATGGTTTATATAATAATTTTATGGCATTGAAAAATTAATAAACAAACAATACCAGCAGGCTGTTCTTGAATTGCTTTCTAATGAATGTATGTGCAATCTTTCTATCTGTTTAGCCAAAGCTGAGTGCTGCCAAGTGCCGCCTCAATGTCGAAAACTTCATTGCCGCATGCCGTAGACTGGGAGTCCCTGAGGTAAACATACATTTAATCTTTTATTGTTTGCTTCTTTTATTATGCTCCATATTATTTGTCTTCCTGAGATGTGTTATCCGTGCTGTTTGTAAATGAGAAAAATCAACTTCGCCCACTGACATGTGACTGCAATAATGTTGAAGCTTTTTTATGTTGTCTTTCAGTTGCTTCAAGCTCGATTTGCTCCTTTTTGTGTGCTCTCTTTGCCATTTTATTTTTATGTTGTTTATCTTAAAGGGGTAGTCACCTCAATACTGTATCATGAACTGCACGCGTGTAATGAACAAAGTGCTGCGCTTCGTTCTGAACCCATATATGGCATATATGTGCATATATTTACTTGCTGTCAAGCTTGATGGTTAAAAAAAAGGATGCTTGAAACCTTAAGACTTAAATATTAGCATCATTTTATAGTTATAGTCATTTTATACTTGAATTAAATAATTTTTAAATAATCATTTAATTTACACTATAATACTATTGTTATTTTACAATACGTTTCTTATTTTGTTAAATTTTTTTATACATCACAATAAAAATAATAGTATTTTATTATCATATAGAAATAGTCAAAACTGTGGGAATGTGATGTATAAAACTCAAGTAAAAAAGACTTTTTTCCCCAAAACATTTATCCCTAAATGGATAGTTTGACCATTTTTGGGTGAACTAACTATCCCTTTAAATGATCCTGCTTTAATGTTTTTGTCTTTGCTCAACACTTGTGTCCAAACATCTTTGTTTGTCCCCTCTGCATTGTTCTTCCTGTCCTTTTGTCTGTCTCTCTCTTTCTCAGATGGAGTTGTGTTTAGCGTCTGATATCCTGTGCAGTAAGCTACCTGCAGTGCGCCGCTGTGTGACGGCGCTCCTGGCAATAGCAGGAGGAGAGGAGGAGGTGAACGAGGACAACAGTGACACCTCTCCCTCTGTCTCTCCTGCCTCCCCTTTTTCCACCGGCTTCCTGCTCTTCTACTCTCTCCTCATGGCTTTGCTCTATCTATTCTACTGCCACCTTATAGCATAGTGTGAGCGAGTATCAATGTGTAAATGTAATGGATTTCAAAGTCCATCTTCTCTGTACTGTGAACACTGTCACAGACACCGCTGATGCCGTCTGACATATATATATCAGAGCAAATTCCTCACCCATAATGCCTTTCAACTTATACATTATCCCCACAGATATCTAAATGGTTTGGAAAATGAGGGTAGTTGTAAGACTTAAGAACTTCATTTTTCTAGTGAAATATTGAAATATATCGCAACTTATCAGAGGTCTTGATCAGATATGGAGATTTTTCCGCACCAAAAATCCTCATAAACAGCTCATCGATGGCCACATATTCCTTTTTATTTAGAGGATGTGGAATTTGTCTGTATATAGACGTGGTTTCCACTCATGAAGGGCTTTTCCACCTGATTGCCTTAGCATCGCTGGTGATCCCAGGATAGTTGAGACACCTTCTAGCGGTCTTTGTAAGGGATTTTGTTATCCTAAGAGTTTTAAAGCACTGGCACAAATTCCCCATCCCTTTTTTCTTTTTTCTCTTTAAAGGGCTTTAATATGGCTTGTATTTGCTCTGCACGGTCCTCATCAAAGTGCCTGTAGGTTCCTTCTGTTCACGCAGCAGTGCAAATGAGTTTGTAGCATCTGGTAAACAGTCTGTTTAACAGTTGCTAACAGTGTGGTGATGGTACTTCTCAGCTTAATTTGGTTTAATTCACACGTTGTTGAAATCTGTCAGGGCTGAGTGGACGATTTCACTTTGCTTTTATTGTCTTGTTGACTGACCATCAGAGGGCAGTGCTGTTACTAAACTGTCCCTTCAACACTTTTTGACGGTACTAATATGATTCAAAGCTGCGCCAACTTGTTACTTTTTTTGAATGTTCATTTTGGTTTTCTTGAGAGCATCTTAATATAATTCTTATATGCAAGCAGTTCAAGATTAAGTTATTGTTTCAGTTTATTTATGTTTTTCTATGTTGTGCTGAAGCGGCATTTGGTGGAAACCCAGTCTCACTGAGCACATTATCTGACTAATTAAATTGAACAGATTAATTGAGTAATACAACTTTGATTAAAGGAACACTCCACTATTTTTGAAAATAGGCTAATTTTCCAACTCCCCTAGAGTTGACTTTTACCGTTTTCGAATCCATTCAGCCGATCTCCGGGTCTGGCGGTAGCACTTTTAGCTTAGCTTAGCATAGATCATTGAATCTGATTAGACCGTTAGCATCGCGCTCAAAAATGACCAAAGAGTTTCTATATTTTTCCTATTTAAAACTTGACTCTTCTGTAGTTACATCGTGTACTAAGACCGACGGAAAATGAAAAGTTGCGATTTTCTAGGCCGATATGGCTAGGAACTATACTCTCATTCCGGCATAATAATCAAGGAACTTTGCTGCCGAACCATGGGTGCAGCAGGCGCAATGATATTACGATGTAACTACAGAGGAGTCAAGTTTTAAATAGGAAAAATATAGAAACTCTTTGGTCATTTTTGAGCGAGATGCTAACGGTCTAATCAGAAGCTAAAAGTGCTACCGCCAGACCCGGAGATCGGCTGAATGGATTCGAAAACGGTAAAACTCAACTGTTTAACTCTAGGGGAGTTGGAAAATTAGGCTATTTTCAAAAATAGTGGAGTGTTCCTTTAAGCTGGGGAGAAAAAAAAATTGTGAACAATAATTTTTTTTTTTTTTTATTCGCATCCGTGTTACTGCTCATGGATGCACAATGTAGATATGCAGACATTACCAAATTACAACTTATAACATTGTTTTTAATTAAAGATGAAATGATTGTGAGTCGTGCTTCTCCACAGCCTTCTCCGTCTGCCGTCTCCTGATTCTACATGTGGCCGTAGTGGTTTTGTAGTCCTGTAATGTGCCATGAGCACCCATCTTTTCCGGTGCTGTATGTGTTGCTTTTGTATTCCGTGCCTACTTAATGTGATTTAGGAGCTTTGCCGACAGTTTACTAACGAGCAGCCTCTCATCTGGAGAGAACGATAAGAGGAGAGAGGAAGAGAGAGAGAGAGACTGGAAAATAAGGGTTTATGAAGGGATGTGCTATAACTAGTTACTAACGCATCATCCCTCACCCGACAATGTCTTAAACACATTTTAAGGGAGTTTGTTCAAACGTATGTAAGTTGATGAGGTTTTATAATATTGTACATTGTTGTCAATGCTAAAGCTAATCATAATAGACATTTGATTTAAAATGTCCACTCTGATAATGAACTCAGACTTCACATGTAGCATAGACGGACTTCCTTACAGTTGCTCGAGAGACCTCAGCCATATGAAATAAGGATTGTGATGTGCTACATGTTGAAGGCTTTTATAGAGGATGACTGCTAATTCTACCGTCCTTCTCATACATACGCTAGACTCAGTTTAGAGGGCCCTAGATCTACATGAATGTTTCAGTCCAAATGTTACCTAGTGGAAACTGTTGCAACACACGAAATGTATTTTGTGATATTTATAAAATACTGTGTATTTAAGAAGTTAATAAGTTTATATTGATATAAAGATTTTTTTTTTGTCTGTAAAGAAATTATTAAAAAACTGAAACACTGATTATTATGTTTTGTCTGCTGCTTTACATGTGCTTTTGTCAGATGTTCATGACTGACTGTTGCTCTCGCTCATGATTAATTCTGCTTTAGTTCATTGTCTCTCTGCTGAGGTTGAAATCCTCACATCAGCTCGTCTTTAGTTAGATTTTCTGTGGCCTTCACCAAAAGGTAAGTGTTGATCCGTCCTGTGGGTAGTAGTAAACAGAAAAAGAAAAGTATACACTGTTACACAGTAGGGTCCAAAGGCTAAGACCACATTGAAATTCTTTTTTTGTTGTTGTTGTCACAACCCCCCACAAACTTGTGGACAGTGCTGCTGCCGTTAAAGCAAAAAAGAATGATAAAGATTACAAAAGAAACTTTGCTCTTTGAAAAATCTGAAAAATGCTTTTGGAGACTTATGGACCCCACTGTGTGTTTGTTTATACAGGAAGATAAGTATATACACTACCATTCAAAAATTTGGGGTGGGTAAGATTTCTTTGTTTTTGAAAGAAGTCTCTTGTGCTCACCAAGGCTGTATTTATTTGATCAAAAACACAGTAAAAACTGAGATTTTGAAATATTATTACAATTTAAAAGAACGATTAAAAATTTTCAGCAGCCATTACTCCAGTATTTATAAAATGTATTTAATAGAAATCTTTAATGTATCACTATTGATGTCGTTACTGTCACTTCTGATCAGTTGAATGCGTCTGCTAAATAAAAGTATTCATTTCTTTAAGAATGGTAATGTATGCATACAGTACATGTTCATATAAAATGTAAATACTGTAAGAGTTTTTGATATAAAACTGCAGGATAGAACTGTTCTTTAGATGAAAATACACCGCCACCCATCAGCACAAACGACTTTACAAACCCCAGAACAAATCAAAGTAACAAAGAAAATAACTGAGCATGTAAGTGTACAAACCCCAGAACAAATCAAAGTAACAAAGAAAATAACTGAGCATGTAAGTGTTCATCCATTAAGTAAACGCTACTTTACCTGCTATTACTGGTCATAAGTCACTGCAACAGTTCGGTTTTTGTCTCAACAAACTGTAAACATTCACTCTGCAGGAAGTGAAGAAAGAACACTGCTGTGAAGTTGTCTTTATAGAAGCTGCAGCAGGCGGCTATGGTAAGGGGCATGACTAGTACACCCCCAAAACAAAATCAAGACTTTGTAAAAGAGCATTATAGGACCCCTTTAAAAAAGTGTTTCTTCCTACCACACTTGCCTGTGTTACCGTGTAAATGAACTAATTAGGACAGTATCAAACACAGGTGCATTACACTGAAATCGTGTGAAGCACTTTATCTGCGTACAGCTGCACTTTCATCAAGCAATTCTTTGATTACTTCTGAAATCATTAAAGTGTGTCAAAGCAGGAGAGTGAATTCTTATGCGCCCATTTGTTTTCTATTTATAATTTTTTATTAATTAACTGGCCAACTCATTTTTCACTCTGACATTATGAAGTGCTTTGTGTTCATGGGGGAGAACAGTTCCTAGTTAATCCTCAATGGTGTCACTTTTTCTTTTAATTATTTTTTCTGCATTAAAAATGCCTCTGCCATTAAAGAAAATCAGTTCTAATTTCAGAATTCTCCTCATTCTCCTATAATTAACTATGTGTTTCTTTTATGAATTGATGAATTTGTGCATTTGGATCTACAAACTCTTTGTTTATAATACTCGTCTGAAGTAGAGTCAGTCATGCACTTTTCTCCATAGCATTTCAGTAGTATATAACTTTTCTGAGCACATGACATATAAATCATAATTGAGTTCTACATAATTATAATTACAATAATAAACACTTCCAAGTAAATAAATAATTCCAGTAATTGATGCCCCTAACAATAAAGAAATTCATCATTGCCGGTTGCCATATGGCTGCATTCATGTTTTCTGTTTACTGTAAAGCTGTGTTCGTAAACTTGACAATATGTGCGCATACACACCTATTTAGCTTAACAGAGAAGCATGAAAAAACCCAGATGTTGAAGAAATGTTTTTAATAGGGCAATAGGAAAAACCACCTCAAATTATGTGTCTTAAGAACATCATTATTGGCTTCTTTACGGCACGATAGTGGGTTAAAAACACAATACGTTCACATTGTAATACTGCTGCGCTGTTATTGTGTTAAAGCAATGAGCTTACAGCAAAATCTGATATATACTGCATGTGTGATATACAGCCTGAATATGGCAATAAGAGCCTTTTCTCAAATGCAACTCATCCATAATCTATACTTAATGTATACTGTTAGGGTTGACTGAACTTAACAATTGGAATGCATGATGGATTTTCAAGATGGTCTGCTGGCTTGTTATGCTCCACTCACTGTACTTCACCCTGGGATGAAACAGCATCCCCTATGTGAAATGCTATAACTGCATGCAGTGCAGACGCCGCTGCTGTGCAATATAGCTGGCAATTCAAAGAAATGATTTTGAGATCAAGTGTTGTGCTGCATGCTTTGCCTGCCCTTCCTGTGTCACATGTTTCAGAGTCACAAGTGCCCTTGTTGCCACTTTTTGTATGTGATCCTGTCTGCACCTGAGGAGGATCTTGCATGTTGTAGGTCCTTCAGATGACAGATGGGAGTTGCATGCCTCAACCATCCTTAGGTGCATGGAAAGCTTTTCATATTGAGGTCTAGGATCTTGCTTGTTTACCCAGAGTGCATTTCACCCTTCAGCATCTCCTCTTAGAAGCATATATTTGCAGATTTTAGGGCCTGCAATACCAGAAACAATGTTCCTGGAGCTATCTGACTGTGCCAAGATGTTTTATTGCTTATTTTATGATCTTTTTTGTGTATGTGAAATGCTATAACTGCATGCAGTGCAGACGCCGCTGCTGTGCAATATAGCTGGCAATTCAAAGAAATGATTTTGAGATCAAGTGTTGTGCTGCATGCTTTGCCTGCCCTTCCTGTGTCACATGTTTCAGAGTCACAAGTGCCCATGTTGCCACTTTTTGTATGTGATCCTGTCTGCACCTGAGGAGGATCTTGCATGTTGTAGGTCCTTCAGATGACAGATGGGAGTTGCATGCCTCAACCATCCTTAGGTGCATGGAAAGCTTTTCATACTGAGGTCTAGGATCTTGCTTGTTTACCCAGAGTGCATTTCACCCTTCAGCATCTCCTCTTAGAAGCATGTATTTGCAGATTTTAGGGCCTGCAATACAAGAAACAATGTTCCTGGAGCTGTCTGACTGTGCCAATATGTTTTATTGCTTATTTTATTATCTTTTTTTGTGTAAACAAATTTAAACTGGTATTCTTTTTTCATCATCAAATCCCACCAGGACACACTGTGTCCGCCGCAGCTGATTCTGGAGGAAGAGGGGCTCACGCGCATCGCTCAGACCGTTCAGGTACTTTTGGAGTTGCCTACGTCAGGTTCCCGTCGCTCATCCCGTCAGGACCCCTCAGGGCTTCCTCTTCAATCCACGACTCAAAATCAAGATGCTGCCTCCTAGTGATCAAGTGAATATTTCCAG